GACTTTTTTTTTCTTTTTTTTAGCTGCTACTATAAAAACTCACCCATTTATAAATGGAAAGCTGAAGGTTTCATTAAAACACAACCAATACCTCTATTCAGTGCAGTGCAAAAACATTTTAGGTTTGATGTAACTGCTAAACACATTGTAACCGAAAGCCAGTCCAATAAGAAGCAGGTTAACTTATTCTTAGACAATTTTGCAACAAATCTTCCAAATTTAGCTTATGACCAATAAGCCAAAAGAGAAAAATACAAAAAATGAACATACATTCATTTTACCTTTCCCTGGAACTCTATATAAAGCATCAAAACATTTCTTTGTCAGAAAATTTATGAAAGGTGGACACCTGCATTAACAAGCAGAACTCAGCAGCCCAGAGTGTGAAACCAAAGAAATGAAGATAAAGAAAAAAGTACCTCCACAGCATGACAGCCCAAGATAGGATGAAGGTAAAGGTCATATTCTTCAGAGATAAAAGAAGAAAGTATAGCTGGCCCACAATATGTGGTCAAAAAGTAACATTGGTTTTCATGAAAAAAACAGTTTGATAAAATTATCAAATTACTTTTTTATGCACCTGTGAAGAAATCTGGTGGCAGAGTTGTGAAAGCTGAGTTGAAATTGGTGGTCAAATAGTAATGGTTAAACAAAGAAGAGGCGTGATGAGATTTTGCGGCATATTCAAAAATGTATTTACATAAATTCAACCAAGCCATCATTTATACATGTAAATAAACATTCTGCAGAGCAAGTAAGTAAAAACTATTCATGGACCCCTCAAATTTTGCACCAAAAAGGTTTTAACACACCTCTCCTCATATGTGCATGTCTTGCTGACAAGCAAGTGCTGCATTTTTTTTTTTTTCGTAGCTCAGCTGATGACTAAGAGACACAATTTCACCACTTGGGGGGGGGGGGGAAGATGAGCTGGATTGTTAATTTCCAACTGAAAAGGAGAGAATAAGAAAAGGACTGAAAAAAATAGTGAAGTTATTTCTTATCAGAATATCAATTCTACTTGTGTTGTTGTTCTGGACAAATAAATGAATCATTCTGGGAAACAACAGGGTTCTCCTTATTTCTCTTCTGTTTGCGTTTGTTCCCTTTCTGCTCGTGAACTGACCCATTACCCCTTTATCTGTCTTTGCATGACTTTCCAACAGGAAGTAACGTCCTGCTCTCAGTGTGCTCAGTAAGCGCAGTCACAGAATCTGGCTACACATAGGTGTCAGTGGAAAGAACAAATGAATAAATCAGTGTCACATAGACTCCACGGTAGAGTGCATAGGGAGGTATGAAGTGCTCCTTAAGTTGGATAATATGTTCATACTTTGTTATTTGCTAGCAGCCTGGATCATTTTAAATCGCTTCTCAGAACTCATTTTTATTCGTTCGCTTTTAACTGAAGCAATTTTTTGATATTCTGTTTTATCTACTTGTGTTACTGTCGTTCCTGTGCAGCACTTTGGTGCAGTTTTATACCTGTTTTAAAGTGCTATATAAATAAATTTGACATTGACATATATAAATAAATTTGACATTTAAAACTGAACCACAATCTCAAGAATAATCCTGTTTTACTTTGGGTGTGTGTTCAAAACTCATTTGTTGAAGCTACAAGTTAAGCTCCATCATTTTATAGAACATGTGTGGGAATACACATGTCTAAATTTCATTTAGATGAAATTTTACCAAACTTCAAAACTGTTACTTAAAAAACTGCTCTTTAGTAATTATTGAAGCTACCACTTTACTGCAACTTCTGCTACTTTCCCAAACAAACAATACGAGGATTGTTTAAACTTTTGGTAAATTATCAGCCTCAGAAATAAAGTTGGTTCCATTTTTATTCTCATTTTGTAGTAAAGATGGAAGCAGTTTTTTAATTGTACCGTTTGTTGACAATGTTCATACAAACTGCTCATTTAGCAAAAATACTTAATTCTAGGAGTATTTTGGCACCCCATAGAAAGAAGAACAATAACAAGCAAGATACATACTCAAAGTATTCTCACTAATAGCTTTGAGTATGTATGCATGTAGATGCATAAATGCATCTACATGCATCTATGCATCAATGGATGCATAGATGCTATCCACAAATTGCTATGCATAGATGCATAGCATAGATGCTATCTATAGATTGCATAGCTTTGACGCTTTGTAGCATCTACTTTGAAGTCTGCTTTCGAGGACTATTTCTAAGTTATGTAAATAGTCCGAATTAAATCTAAACATCTCTAAATCAAACCTGAGCCTGATTAATTAGATATTCTTTGAAGCACTTTCTAGCATTTTTGAATCATTTACTCTGTTTGTAAAAATACAAAATGGAGTAATTTTGATGTTTGTTTTTTGGCACAAGGATCACCTTAAAATTAGACAAGTATACAACCCCTAAGTGTAGACAATTCAAACTTGGATAAAACTATTTCTTCACTGGTTTCTAATTTTTTAATCACAGTTTGTCAATGGTAAAACCCTTACTTCATATGTGTAAATGAAAAAAAAACTTTCAGTTCGTCCCAAAATATCTTGTACTTTCCAATCTTGTGTGACAAAACAATTATCTTCATATTTGTAATTGTAATTGAAAAAAATGTCTATAAGAAATTGCATCTTGTTGTAACGGTTGAATAGAAATCACATTTTTATTTCCAAGATGCAATGAAAAGTAGATGAATGCTCCATACTTAATGTTTCGACAAAGCCAAAAGTTTTGCAACATTTGTTACTCCAAAAAACTAAAAGTGGTGCTCCCTTGTATTGACATTTAAAGAAAATGGAAGATAAAAGAAGGACATGTATGACTGGGTAACATTCCCTTTGCTTTCAGAAGCAAAAGGGCACCATGCTTGGATAGCTTTACCCATTCTATTGCTGTCTCATTAATGTCTGTCTGTTTTCTTAGACACCCTGCAGGAAGGCAATTACATGCTTGGTTTGTGAAAACCCATACAAGTGGATGCCTTTTCCCTTGGCTGAGTTATTCTGTAATTTATGTTCTTATTTTAAAAAGTAAGAAGAAAAGCTGAAGAATATAGGTTAATTGACTTGGTTCCCGAAATGGCTTGTAGGAATCTGCTCCTTCCTGACCAACTCATCTGTTTTTATGGTTGTGTTGGCTTCTCATAACCTAACCACAACACTGTTTTTAACCAAAGATCTTACACATTTTATTTTTTCTTTACATTAAATGCTCTTAAACTGTTTCAATTTTATGTAGTTTGAAGATATAAAATATTGTACACAGAAAAAGCTCATGTAAAAATTAAACCCTAAACCTCTATATATTAAGGGAATATTAACAACAAGAACCACAGTCAGAAAAACAGCCAAGAGATTTTTGATGCCGATGAGAATGTGTTGATTGGATAACTTTTAGTTCAATCTACCTTTACCTTTATAAGGTAAAGGTAGTTTTATTTATACAGCACATTTTCAGCAACAAGGCAATACAAAGTGCTTTACATGAATTAAAAGGAAATACAAACAAAATAACAAACCAAAGGAAAGCGCAAAAGAAGAAACAGCTAATAATGTTGATCCAAAGTTAATAAATTATATACTCCTATTCAGAGTTGGTAGATAAGTAGAAGTCCTTATCCTCTGGTCTAATTAAAAAGGGTTAATTAAAGGACAAGTTAAAGTTACAGATGCATGTGTTAGGAACTTTGTATTGGCTCAGAGGTTCACCTTCCTACAGGACAATGACCCCAAATATTATACCAGAGGCACAATCAAATGGTTAAGATCAAAGTATAAATACGTAAGAATGGCCTGGTCAAAGTAGAAAAGGTGTGAAAGTCTATCTTTGTAGATGCTTTCCACTCAATTACAGTAAACTAAAGCTGTTTTTAAAATAAGAAAGAACAAAAAAAATAAAATCTCCTTCTTAGATGCAAATTTCACTTTTTAATCGCAAAGCTGGTAGAGATGATGCAAAGGATTTGCAGCAGTAGCTGCAGCAAATAGTGGCTCAACAAAATATTGACTGAGGCAAACTGAATGAAAATGTTGGCCACACTTTTCAGATACTGTCAAAACTTTGAAAACCAAGTATTTCTTTCACAAAAACAAGTCAATGTTTTTGGTTGTACTGTGATCAAATGTGAAAAATATGTATGTCTTTTAAAGACGCTAAATGGATAAAAGTTTAACTTTAGGCCCCCCTTGAATTAATCTAAGTTTGAAGATACTTTTAGCATCTCCAAATAATATTTGATAAGCATACCATATAATATTTGATAAGCATTTCCTTCTACTTTCCACAGGTCGAAATGACTTTCCTTCCATTGTTGGACACTACTGTTTGCTGAAGCTGCTAGATATTTGATTGACCTATCTTTATTGCTCTGTTTTCACCTTTGCATATCTCCTGTGTTCTTTAAATTCACCTGTGTTGAAACATGAAGCCGAAGCCAATTGATCTGCAATAAAGGCATTAATAAATTAATTAATAAATAACAGGGAAAAGTGGGATGAAAGCTCAGATTGTTTTTTATTATAGGCATGCCGTGTGATTCATGATCACGTCACTTCCTCCAGTACACGTTCCAGGAGGCAACTTTCTAGGAATTCACGCTAATACTGTGACTGAGCCCTTACTGTTTTGTATTGACGCTACCCATTTTCAAGGAAGTGGCACTTTTCTTAGAATTTCAACATCCCTTTTCAAAGAGCTTGGATCCTTCAGCTCCTCCTCCCTGCTTTTTACATTTCTTAAGGGGAAAAAAAATCCCACAATTTTTATGTTTTTTTTATTATTTAATGACCAGTTTGAATACCATTCACTGTTGTTATGGGACTAAATCTTTAGCGGTTTTGGTAAATGATCTGTGAGTGAATGCAAGAAGTGTCTATCACAAGAGTACTTGATGTCATCATGGGTGGTAACAGACCATTAACAGTTCTGCGAAAAATGTGATGGGAAATAAGTGATAACTAGATAATATGTGAACAGGAGCCTTATTTAAGGAAAACTGCACACACACAAAGTCAGTAGCTTGGCTTTTTCTGAACACAACACCTGAAAGCAGTACTGAGCTCTCTGGCCTTGAATTGCACAAACTCCTGACCTGGACTCTGGATTACCAGCAGCAAATGGACATATTGAACACCACTTTGTAGTGTGACACATAGATTTCTCATCATGTTATTCTAACATATTTTCATCCGTTTAAAGCACATGGAAGGCACATCATCAAAATTGTAAGTATCATTCTCCATTGCTTGACAGAAAGCATTCGCTTTGATTGTTCATTTCTCATTTGTCCAATTCTGCGTTGCTTAATGGCTTAAAGATAAGCAATTAAACTTAGAGCTATATCACATCCAAAATATTTTTGTGCATCTGCAAGAGTTGATTTAGACTCGCGAATCGTATTTTTATTATCTGAAATTGGCAGGGTATGAAAATTATGGATGAGTGCAGGGTGAGGACACGACGAGGTGCTCCTACTGGCAAAAAGATCAAAGTCAGTTTTAATAAGCTCTGAAATTCTTTCCTTAACCAGAGAGAGGTTCTCACCAAGTCAGATGAAAGCCACCCTTTGGACGAATCGATTAGCTGGGAAAAGTTTATGCAAAGCTTAACCAGAAAAGTTGTTTTTGTAATTGTTCGTTGTGGTTTGTATCAATGACCATGCAGTACTTCTAGACCATATTTGTTTAAAACTTTGATTAAAAGCAAATAAAAGATAGTGGTATAGCAAATATGAAGGTTTTTGTAGCGTTAGACAGACACTCAATACAATTAAAACACTCTGAAGCAGACGATCAGGTTTCTTCTTCAAGAGTCATTTTTATTAACTTGCCATACTTTTGTCAGCAAAGGCCAAATCCGTTGTGGATTCAAAGTGGTGACAGACAAAATAGCTCTTTTATTTTCTTTCTTGGCCAGAAAACAACTGTTTGGGAATAGCATTCTGCATATTCGCTGGCTGCCCAAGCTGCCAATAAAACAATGAGACCATATGCAGGGGAGACTTTCTTCGTGTCCCGTCTGGCCCTCCTACTATTTACCGTCACGTGATGCTGTCCACATGAACTGTCCTCATTCTGACTCCCATTTTGATTCTACTACATTTATATTCATTTCAAGACAGGTCTCATTTGTGTTGCAGAAAAGGTAACACTGATATAAACAATCATTTATGCAGAAGAATGACACCCCCCAGCATGATGCTGTTACCACCATGTGTAACCTGTGTAGATGTTTTTTTCAGGTTGATGTGTGCTGTTAGTTTTCTGTTGCATCAAAAAAAATTATCTTGAAGTTAAGGTAGGATTCAGAACCAAAAGCAGAACCACAACAATATAGCAGGAGAAAGCAAACGACCAAAACACTCCACATACAGCCACCCAGATGAGGATGTTGTTTAGAAAAAGAGAGATATTCTTGATGGCAGAATATCTGCCAACAAGAATAAAAGAATATCTGCCAAAAAGAATACGATCACCCATAAATCAAATACGAGCTATGGGTGTGCGTTGCACAGGAAACTTAGTCACCCACTTAATCCCAACAGGTACTAGGAGAGCTATAACACAGTCTATATAACACAGGTGCCACCCATTTCCAAATTAGGTAAAAGGACACTTTTTTTGAGTGCTTGTAACGCCCCAAGAGTTGCAACATCCTGGGCAGGCAGCCAGCCGACCAGCCATTAAAACTACAATTGATTATGAAATAGCAAAACTTAAACATACTCAATTTTATGCTATAACAAAACTAAAGCATTTTCAGGCAGGCTTATAAATTCCAGTTTATCTAAAAGTAGAAGGACAAGATAAAGCAGAACACAATTCAGAGATGTGCAACAACGTACTCAAGTTAGAGGCTGTTTGTAGGAAAAGGAAAAGTAGGCATGCGATGCTGTGTCGGCAAAGGTGATGCTTTAAAAGGTTTCTCCTTTTCTCAGGAAGGAAGACATGAAATGGCATGATCCTTTACCCCACAGGTTCTATTGCGCAGAAAGGCAGAGCAGGAGTCTGGTTTTCTTGTCATGCATTCAAAAGGTCATATTTTCTTTCCAGCAGTAAATGACTGATGTTGGCCTCAATGCAGTCAGCATAGCACGACATATGCTTAAAAATAGAATGTGAGCTATATGGACAGAACAAAAAGCATTTGACAAGACTTTAAGCATGAACTGAGATTGCGAAGATGCCTTTTTGGAGTCAAGAATGATTGAAAATGTTTATTCTTAATAGAGAAAATGTTTGAAGTTCGTTGAAATTAGTGGGAGAAATAAATGATGACTGCAAAGCTTTTGCATCTTCTAACAGTGGTCAATCTTCTCTGCCTTCTTTGAAAAGCTTTTTAACCTTGATGAAAAGCTAATAAAGCTAATATAGGGTGCATCTATGTACACCCAGAATTCCGTACAGTTTTCACCAAAGGTTCTGTTTTGGTGATAGGAGAATCAGAACATGAGATGTCTTTTAACACATTCTACACATTCTCAATGGGATTTCGGTTCTGAACTCCATTGTGGACAGTCGGTGTGTGAAAGCAGTTTCTCGTGGTCTCTGAACAACTCTTTCACAATTGAAGCCCACTAAATCCTGGCATTGTCTGCTAAAGTGAGACGGTTGCTCAAGGAGTGAGAAGCTGCTCTCTGAGTTATTTAGTGTTGTTTAACTTACTGCCAGCTGCTCTGAATCACTGCAGTACTTTTCCAATTAAAGTCTCCTACCTTCTCATGCAGTCAAGGTTTTTAACTTTTTTTTAATCCTTACAATATGTTTTGCTATTAACTCAATAGAACACCCAGATAAAATCATCGGTTGTGTATTAAACTCTTTATTTTCTTTTAATTCTAATCTACAAGGTTAACAATTAAGAACAACAGTTTAGTTTAGTTTCACATAAGCTGTGAATAATAGTAAAATACATCTCAGCCTTGAGCTAAACTGGAAAAGTACTGAACAGAGCATGAGAAACAAAGGGCAGGTTCTGAAATGCAAATGCCTTGACTTTCCTGATCAGGTAGAGATTTTCTCGTTGGGCTGGATGAGGGCAGGTCAGTGTTGTACACAATGTCCAGTTGCAGGTACAACCAAATTTAGTGTCTCAGTGTACTTTGACATCACGCAAATGTCACAGCAGGTCTGCTAACTAGCAGACCTTTGCATGTCATTTTCTATGTTTCCAAGAGCAAGATTAATATGTGAAGCTTTTCTAGTGATGAATAGAATTTAAACACAGAAAATTTGTACAAAAATGTGAGGTAAAGGGTGGATGTGATCAAAATCTAGAGTTATGGCCTCCATGTATTCTACATTTGGATGAAAATTAAAATGGAATGTCAGCATGAGGACACCATGTCCTCAGCTAAACATGGTGGTGGCAGCATAATGCTGAAGGGATGGTTCTTCAGCAGGAACATCTGACAAAGGAATTCCTCCTCAATAAAGATAAATTACAAAAGTTTCAATCTAGATAAATAAAGATGGCAGATGACAGGGCAGGGCTTAACACAAATTTACCCCACACTATTCGGATTACAATAACATCACTTCAAAGTCTTTGCTACTTTGTGAGGGCCTAGCATATAGAACTCTCTAAGAAACAATAAAATTTGTGGATTTATCTTGACAAAATGTGGGAAAGTTCAGTGGATGCTATTATTTTTCAGCGAGATGATGAGAGCTAAAACTGGGATTGCTTAGTGGAACTCACTGAATCCTTGCATTAACTGGAATCTCCTTATGACTGGCAGGAACAGTGTCCTCAGAGCCTGGTGCTACATGGATAGTGCAGATGGTGGGTGCAGTAGCTGGCCGAGCCTTCGTGCATGGTCTTATTCTAGAAACAACACATTTGCGTGGTGTTAACAAGCAACAAGTGAATCCAATTTTTCAGACTCATGCTTTATCTGATAAATTACACTCAGTGCTAGGACTGGGTGGAATTTGGGGATAATGCAGTCAGTCTAATCTGGTTATGTGGAAGGGTTGTGTTGTAGACTCCCTTACTTGCTGACAGCTGGTGATTTACTAAGAACTGTGAATTATTGAGGTCTGTAGTTGTGTGCAGAAGAGGCAGGCCTTCTTTTATCAAAGACTTTCATAGGATGAAAGCATGTGCTGACCTGTGCAGTAACTTATGTAGTGAATCAGGCAGATAAATAAAGTCAATTCAGAGATTTGTGCAGTAATCTTGGTTCCAGGAAAATGATGAGCAAAGCAGTGATTGTTGCAGGCTTTGCACCACTGGTGCTTACTTGCTCTGTTAGGTTTTTTTTTCTATGTAGAAAACATCTAGATTAAAACTGATTTTGATAAGACAGCCCATTGACATTTTTTTTTCTTTCTTAGATGGAGTCGGTCTATGTGAAGATTTTGACTTGGGGTCCCACCTGGATTGAGAAAATTCAGTATCTTGACAGGAACATGCCTATAATCATTGAGCTCAGATCAGGGGAGGGACGCCTTATTGAGGTGAGTTAATCAAAACATTCCATCATTACCCTCGTCATTCATTTAGCAGATGGTTCCTCCATTTCACAGAGGCCTCGTACAATAGATTGGCTTGGAATGCTCTGGCTAATGTGCAGGCAGGAAAGCAAGAGATGTCCTCTGATATGTTTGCATATCAACAAAGCAGGAATTGGAATCAACTCATCTCTGTCCTTTGGCCCAATAGTTCATTGTGCTGAAACTGAAAACTAGCAAGCTATTTCATTTGTACATATTGGATGAGCCTGACCTGTAGTTTGGTTTTTCAGGTGTACTGGAAAGAGCCGCTGAGTGATACCGGGACATCTGTATAATAACCTGTTGTCAACTGAAGATGAGCTCTTCTATTCTATTGTGCTGTGTTACAATAAAGAAAAAAATAAACTGAACCATTTCTAAAGAATGCTAATTGTATAATGTGAATTTAAAAAATAAGAGCTGGTCTGAGAGGTGGAAATATGGACAGAAAAGTAGCAAATAAAATATTTCTTCCCATATTGTTTTTTTTTTTTTTGTCTCTTTATGCACAAAACATACCTAAATTGACACAACTATTCATCCTATTTTAAAGTTTTTTTTTTTTTGCTAAACTGCAAACTTCAGTGGAGATTCTAAGATTGTATGTGAAAGAACACAAAATAGTGCCTGATTGTTAAGTGAGAAGAAAATTATACTTCTTTTTTTTTTTTTTTGCCACAAAATATTTTTGTGGCATTCATTTATTTTCACCCTCGTGGAGCACATGTAGCTGCAGTTACCAGCAAAATATATTAGTTTATTTCTATAAAAGCTTTGCACACCTAGAAGCTCAAACCATTTCCAATTCTTTTTTGCAAAAAAAGCTCAAACTTTGTCAGATTAGATAGAGAGCTCCATATGTCACTTACTTTTTCCTGGTCTGTTTCTTTCCTTTACCTCTAAAAACAAAGTATTTTTGAAAAAATTGTTTTGCTTTTTGTATATTAGAAACAGATAGGGAAAAAATGACAGACATGAATATTTTGGGAGGGCTACGACTGCAGCACATGTTGGAATGTGATTGTTTATTTAGGGGCATGTCGGTGAAGCACATCTGTTCCTTGAAGTGAATTTGGTCTCCCGTTCAGTTGTCAGATTGGTGGATCAACATGTGTATTCTGCATGCTGACACAAAGTCTCGGGTACATGTTGCAGAAAAATGAACTGTAGATGCCAGGACAAAATTCACATGTTAATTAGTATTTTTGTCCAGGGTTTACGTTACACACTGCTACAAATTCAGTAAAAATGTTATTTACATAATAGCAGTTTACAGTGAGGGTAAAGTCAGTTTCTTGCCTCATTTCTGTTTATAATGTACATTTCAAAGCCTGTGACTGACCAGATTTAAGAATTCAGACTTGTCATTGAACCAACTGTGTGAGAAATCTGATTTTGCAACACTGTGTGAATATAATTGCAGTTCTGATTAAAAAAAATAAAAAAAATCAATGTTTTTCAGTTTCTGCTAAATTAACTCAAGTCTTTTCTGACATTTATAGTCTTACTAGAACTTACTATTCTTATACTAGCAAAGATACAGTAATATAATAGGATGTGATGTTGAACTTCACCTTGAATTAACTTTTTGATCTATTTATTCATCTGGATTTTTATTTAAACTATCAGTATTGTTATTTCCTGCTTACTTCTTGTTGATGAGGGTCTGCAAGTTTCTTTCAGGCAGCACAGTTTTTGTGTGAATGTGGTGGCCAGGATTCAACACAGTCCCTCCTGCAGCATTACATAATTATTCAGGGTGCGCGTGTGTGTGCGTGTGTGCGTGTGTGTGCCTGTGTGTATGTGTGTGTGCGTGGGTATGCGTCTCTGTGTGTGTTTCAATAGATGCCAGCAGTTCAACCATCAAAGTTGGAAATGCTGCAAGTTTCATAATAAGATGTAAGTAAACCAGAAATATGTTGCAATTTTAATAAGGGGATCTTAATTTGTGTTAGAGAACAACTTTGTCTTTCAAAAGTCCTGGAAATAAACTGCGGCCTTGATTGCAAAACTAGAAAACTAATCTATTAAAATATCCATTGCAATGACAAACAACAAGTAAATTAAAGGACTGTGCATTTGGGTGAGTAAGCACGTCTCAAATTATCATGTCTTCTATTTTCAGGTGCCTTTAATTTAAAAATTAAAGGTGCAAGATTTTCCTACACAAGATTTTCCTATATGTGGTTGGCTACATATTCCCAAAATGTTGCCATGAATTATTCAGTTCCAAGAATGCAACTTTTTCTCTTTGCAGAAATGCTTTATGGGATTCCATTTTTAGACAAGCTTTTATTAGTTCGTTATTGTTTTTTGTCAGTACATTATTATCTTTCCCCAGGAATTTGTCAAATTTAATGTGGCCAATCCTTCGTCACATTTCTTTGCATGTAAACGGGTTGGCACCAGTTTTGCCTCATATCACCTTTAATTTCCCTCTGGATGCAGAACAAATATTTAAAAATTGAAAGCAAAAGTAAATTTTGCCCCCATGGCTCAATACAGTAGCATACTTTCTCCTTTATGTTTTTATTGTTTATTAACCTTTACAAGCTCAAGTTCCTGGTCTTTGAGGTCAGAAATGAAAATTCTGATACTTAAATTCCTCCGAGCCTTTATCATTGTAACTCATTGTTCAGCAGCCCAAACAAAGCAGTTCTCAAGCAGCTTCAGTCAGTTCAAAACACAATTACTAGATCACTAAACTCAAAACAAAAAGAGTTAGAGAAGCTTGAACATTAGGCCAGTGGTGAGTGCCTTTAAAAGTAGCTAAAAATACATGTATTTAAATTTCTTTTAACAAAAATATGTACATTTTATGTCAAAACATTTCACTGTACTGCAGTTGAAAAGTGTATCTTCAAAAATTGGGTCAATGCTTTTAGTAGATCAAGTAACTGGACATGCAAACACTTTAAATCCTCCCATCTTGTATAATCGAAAAGCTTGATTATACAAGATGGGAGGGGGCAATCGTGGAGATTTCCCGCTTGGCTCTGTCACAAGAATGTTGTCTCTACCCATCCACGCACATGGCTCCTCTCACATCCCATTTTATGACTTGTGTGAATATGTGATGGTTTCCACACCCCTGGCTAATCATTGAATAAACATCAAATAACTTAGAGCAGCTCCATAACTGGACATTCATCAACAAAATAATACTGCAAGGGCAATCAAACCAAGGTTGTTTAAATACACATAACCTACTGTTAGCTTAGGCACCAACCACAATAGCTGACATGGTTGGGTGCTTATCTTGATGATGTTCCCTTCTGCGTGTGAGGATCATTAACAAAATGTCCCAAATAATTTTATGAGCCAGTAAAGTATTGCCCTGTGTCACCAGTTGTGCAAAAGGAAAATCCCTTTATCGCTTTCAATTTAACAGACCATAATGAAGCTTCTACAAAGAAAATTCTCAGAGCGAGTTTGCAACTGAAGCATGAAGATGAAGAGGCTTTAGAGGCTACAGAAATTAGCATCTATCATTAAATTCAAACAACAGCTGGCTCAATCTAATTAAAAATATGAATCCTCACTCTGTACGTGGCCCTTCATCTGGACCTTCATCTGGCTTAGTTTATGGGCTCACAGCCGAGGTACAGCATGGTTTTAAACGTACAAATGGGCTCATCTTCTTTACATGACAGTGACTCTTCTTCACATGTTCTTGTTCATGGTGGAATTTAAGCCATGTGACAATTAGGGCCAGTTTAAAACCTGCTTCCTTTGTGTGTTTAACCTCAGAGGTCAGAGCATTGTGTTTCGCCTCTTGTTTTGAAGTTTGTCAAACCACATGGACAATGCTCTTTTTGTTGCTCCACAGTAATTTTCTCTGAGAGTGTTCATCACATTATTTGGCTCTTGCAACAGAATTTGATTGGTTTGTAATTTGGCACCAGGCTGTTTTCAGCTTTCTTCTCATTATATTTATCTCGACAAAATAAACAGTTGGGAGTCTGGAACTGACCTGGTTTAGACTGACTTTACAGAAACACTGAAGAATGATCATTTCATGGAGCAAGGAGTGAATCAGTTTGTCTTATTATATGTCATAAAATCTGGTGTGGCACACTAAAACATTCAAGAGGATTTAATTTTACTCTTAATAATTTTCTGGCTCCACTAGCAGATTTGTTCTCTTTTGATTTTGGCTCAGTCAAATGTTTTAAATCATTAAACAAATTATAGCATCAGTAAGATAAAACTACTAAGTACAAAAAGTTATTTTGAAATTATGATTTTTACTTCTTAAGATTAAAAGCCACCACACTAGTTTAGCCTTAAGAAAGTAATTCTCCCAAAAACCACAAAATGTTCGCCCAACAGCTATCATCAATTGTTTGAAATCATTTGTAATGAGCTTTATAAATAACAATGGAGGAAATCTTATTTGCAGAATTTGTTTAATTCAGTCATATCAGGGAGTTCTTAAGCATAAACAACCTATTTAATGCAGTGCCACCCCATTTCAATCCAAATGAAGTCCAGATTTTGACTAAGTCACTCTAAAATCTAAATTTGATGACTATTTTTGACATTCAGAGGTGGTCGCATTAGTGCATTTTGGGTAATTATCCTCCTGCAACTCAAGTACACTTGAGCTTGAGGTCAAAATTGATCATCAGAGGTTCTTCTTCGGGAGAACAAGATTCATTATTCCATCATGAGTAACTGTATTAGTTATAATAATGCAAGGGATTTTTTCTGAAATTCTGGCCGTTTTTACGCCAGGTACAAAAATACTACCAAATCTCCGTTTGTTAAATCCCACTTAGACACCATTTTTACCTAGTTGGAAGTTCAGAAAATTGTGTAGTATTCGAAATAGACCAACACAGTAGGTTTGATTTAGCAAGGAAAGGTATTTGCTGTAGGGAAAACCAGCCTGTTAATTAGCAGATTTCTCTCAGCAAACCTGCTTCTGCGTTTCCTTCAATTGGACATATTTATTCTAATGTGCAAGATTCTGGGTGAATGTCGTGCATCCGAATCTGCAATCAAAGATAGTTTAATCATGATTGATCCCATCGCAGCTAAATTTTTTCCCTTAAAAGGGGTTATATTTTCTGCCCCGCAAGACAGTAAAGTACACATTTCTCACAAAATGTTGCTCCGACTTTACCTCCTTCATCAGCATAAAGTACCTAAATAAAGCTTGATCAGATTTCCCATCAAAGGATATTCAGAATTTGGCTCTATTGAGGTTAATAATGCTTTTTCCAAGTTTTGAGTAACTGGATTAGTTATAATAATGCAAGGAAATGTGAGCAATTTCATATGGATGTTTCACAATTCATGTGAAACATGTTACTCATTGCGATCTTTGAACTGTACTTAACTTATTCATTGAATGAGTATAATTGGTGTTAAATGGTGGTAGTGGGAGGTTAACTGGTGATGATAGACAATGCACTAATCCCACAAAAAAGCAGGAGATGATTCAGTTTTTCAGATAACTCAACCTGAACCTCCACGCCCATCCCCCAGGAGCCATCTTTAACCCTGTCTCCACTTTACTGACTGATGTGGGGAGGTTATCTACAAGACATTCTCACTCCCTTTCTGTGCTTCATCATGTTTGGCAACTATCCGATAAAAACTATGTCAAATTGGAGGATGAAGGTGAAATATGTGACAGAAAGAAGGTGTCAGTAAAATCACTCTTCACTTCCCAGTATCATCATTTCCACAGACTCCACAGGAATGCTGAAAATAAAGCTTCACTCCTTCTGTGTGACACTACTCATTTCACAGCTGCAGCATTTCTTCTCCAAGGAGCCACCTCATCGCCACTGCAGGGATGGAAACACTTGTCGAGAAAGGAGCAGAAAGTGAATCATTTGTCAGTTATAAACCAAGAGATTATGAACGTTAACACATGATTTCAGAGCAGCTCGTTGTGTTCTCTGGCAAGTTATGAAACTTCTGTTTAATAATTGCCATCACACTATAGTTGAGAGATTTCTGATATGTACTGTGACACTGTTAAACATTGAATCATAAAAAAATCAAGTCCTGCAGCACAGAACTGTATGACGTGTGCATACAGTTCGCACAAACACTAACGTGTATGGAACACACTAACATGGCTCATGGGATAGTTTAGAGCCAAGTATTTATTAACATTAAATGAGAAAAGTGACCTTAGTTCTGTTCCTGCTTATAGTTCTAACACTTAAGGAAATCATCCATCTGGATTATTTTAGTGCAATGAAAAAATAATAATAATAAAGGAATGTTGAGAAAGAGCACGGGGATCCACGGGAGGGAAAATAGAGTTGGAAAAAATGTACAGGAACATTATTTCAAACTTACAACAACAAAAAATATTAGGTGTGAAGCTCACAGTTTCATGAACTGCCTTGACTGAAACTGTAGGTAATATTGCCACCATGTGCTCAATGGTGGAATTAAATTTGCTTACC